TTTTGAGGATACATCTGGTGCAGTCTTGCTAAGTGCTTTGTAGATGCTTGTATTTAGTAGTTTCTCTACCGCTATCTTGATGGCTTGAACTTCTGCATCATAGTCGTGACAGTGCTTTCCCGTTGGTAATTTGGCTGTATCCCTGGTATTATTAGGATACTCAATGTACACTCCCGCACCTCCGTTTCTGACTGCGCTTTCTGCTGACCCATCTGTGTAAACACGGACCCAAAGGTTCTGCGGGTATTCATCATCAAGTAAACTGAGGGTGGCTGTTTTGCGCTGCACACTGTTTTGTTCTTCCTTGTCAAATACCCCTTTCACTTCAGTCTTGATATGTATTGGAAACTTATACTCCTCTCTCCAGGGGGTCCGTTCTGGGACAGCATTTAAGGATCTATAAGTTGCAGGTAAATCAGTGGTTTGTCTGCCGAGCCGTTTATCGATTATCTTCTTTTCTCCTGCATTTGTTCTGCCTTCAAGCTCCAGGTTTTGAAGATACATCTGGTGCAGTCTTGCTAAGTGCTTTGTAGATGCTTGTATCCATGGTTAGAGTGTTTCCATATCCACGGTTAGAGTATTTCCATATCCATGGTTAGAGTGTTTCCATATCCATGGTTAGAGTGTTTCCATATCCATGGTTAGAGTGTTTCCATATCCACGGTTAGAGTATTTCCATATCCATGGTTAGAGTGTTTCCATATCCATGGTTAGAGTGTTTCCATATCCATGGTTAGAGTGTTTCCATATCCACAGTTAGAGTGTTTCCATATCCATGGTTAGAGTGTTTCCATATCCATGGTTAGAGTATTTCCATATCCATGGTTAGAGTGTTTCCATATCCATGGTTAGAGTGTTTCCATATCCATGGTTAGAGTGTTTCCATATCCACAGTTAGAGTGTTTCCATATCCATGGTTAGAGTGTTTCCATATCCATGGTTAGAGTGTTTCCATATCCATGGTTAGAGTGTTTCCATATCCATGGTTAGAGTGTTTCCATAGTCTGCATCAGCTTTAAGTGACAGGGCTATCTTTGGTACATTATCTACTGTACAAATATCCAAACCATTCTAGGACACAAATAATTCTCTCTGTCCTTGTATGTGTGCACACACATGTTCATGACATGTTTATAACACACCTATCTACTTTGTCAAGGTCCCCTTTACTAAATCAGCCATGTGAGAGCAGGGGCTAACATTGTGCCATCAGATCAGCAGGTTGTGTACAGACTATCATACTCATCATGGCACACCTGGACATCTCTCTTTCTCCAGCCCTATGTGCTTTCATAGCCAACACATCTTCAGTGTCTTGAATCCACATTTGTGGAGGTCTGCCTGTACCTCGTTTTCAGGACACTGTACCCTCCGTCCCCGCTCTCTCCTTCCCTGCTCTCTCCTTCCCTTCTGTCTCCTTCCCTGCTCTCTCCTTCCCTTCTGTCTCCTTCCCTGCTCTCTCCTTCCCTGCTCTCTCCTTCCCTGCTCTCTCCTTCCCCGCTCTCTCCTTCCCTTCTGTCTCCTTCCACGCTCTCTCCTTCCCTGCTCTCTCCTTCCCTTCTGTCTCCTTCCCTGCTCTCTCCTTCCCTGCTCTCTCCTTCCCTTGTGTCTCCTTCCCTTCTGTCTCCTTCCCTTCTGTCTCCTTCCCTTTTGTCTCCTTCCCTTTTGTCTCCTTCCCTTCTGTCTCCTTCCCTTCTGTCTCCTTCCCTGCTCTCTCCTCCCCCGCTCTCTCCAGATCACCACAGCCCTTGACATGTCCACAATACCTCAGATTCTGAGACAGGATGTTGTTTATGAGCCAGTTCTCCTCCATGTTCAGATCATGTAGCAAATCAGTGCTCTTTTTTTCTTGGGCCCTGGTATTTTAAAAATTGTTTGATAGCATTTCAGATGGCAGATTCAAATTCACATCGAGGCAGATATTTCAATGGACGAGGGCACCCAGTTTAACAACTGTGCACCAGTAGTGATTTTAGGAAGCAGCCTAGTATTGATCCCCACTGAGTGCTGATTGTTCTGTATTGGGTCTGCATGATGCACCCAGTGTTACCCGACACACAGAAACAAGCACTTTTCACCATATGGGTGTAAAGGGATACCCAGTCCCTCACCTTGGGCACTAGCAGGCTCTGTGCTGGTTGTATAGACTCTCGTGTAGGACTCCTGCATCATGTCCACATCATGCAGTGTCCAAACAGTCGTCTATGTCAGCCTAAACAGAAATGGTAGAGGATCTCATAACTTGTGGCCCTAGAGATACAGTGTCCAAACTGTCGTCTATGTCAGCCTAAACAGAAACAGTAGAGGATCTCATAACTTGTGGCCCTGGAGATGCAGTGTCCAAACTGTCGTCTATGTCAGCCTAAACAGAAATGGTAGAGGATCTCATAACTTGTGGCCCAAGAGATACAGTGTCCAAACTGTCGTCTATGTCAGCCTAAACAGAAACAGTAGAGGATCTCATAACTTGTGGCCCTGGAGATACAGTGTCCAAACTGTCGTCTATGTCAGCCTAAACAGAAATGGTAGATGATCTCATAACTTGTGGCCCTGGAGATACAGTGTCCAAACTGTCGTCTATGTCAGCCTAAACAGAAATGGTAGAGGATCTCATAACTTGTGGCCCTAGAGATACAGTGTCCAAACAGATCTCATAACTTGTGGCCCTAGAGATACAGTGTCTAAACAGTCGTCTATGTCAGCCTAAACAGAAACAGTAGAGGATCTCATAACTTGTGGCCCTAGAGATACAGTGTCCAAACAGTCGTCTATGTCAGCCCAAACAGAAACAGTAGAGGATCTCATAACTTGTGGCCCTAGAGATACATTTTCCAAACAGATCTCATAACTTGTGGCCCTAGAGATACAGTGTCCAAACTGTCGTCTATGTCAGCCTAAACAGAAATGGTAGAGGATCTCATAACTTGTGGCCCTGGAGATACAGTGTCCAAACTGTCGTCTATGTCAGCCTAAACAGAAACAGTAGAGGATCTCATAACTTGTGGCCCTGGAGATACAGTGTCCAAACAGATCTCATAGCTTGTGGCCCTAGAGATACAGTGTCCAAACAGATCTCATAACTTGTGGCCCTAGAGATACAGTGTCCAAACAGATCTCATAACTTGTGGCCCTAGAGATACAGTGTCCAAACAGATCTCATAACTTGTGGCCCTAGAGATACAGTGTCCAAACAGATCTCATAACTTGTGGCCCTAGAGATACAGTGTCTAAACAGCCTCTGGCCTCTTCATTGCACCCTCAATACACAGGTTTAGTGAACTCATTGTGCCCGGCTCTCTAGTGTAGTTGGCTAAACCTGACTTCGCGGTGACCGGGTGTCAAACTCCTTGTGGTCCGGGTTCACACCCGGGGGTAGGCAGAAAAGCCACATTTCTCCCAGATTTACGGTACTTATCATGGAGTCAAGGCCGAAGGGTTGCGAAATCCATAGTACCGAGCCAAAGGGTTAACAACTTTAACAACTTATGGTTTCTGGATATAAAAAAAAAAAAAAACTCATTGCAAAATCAGTGAAGTTAATAGCTTGAACCTCCTACTAAATGACACAGGTTCAAATTTGTTGACTCCGAGTCTTGACTAATTGACAGAGGTTCAGATTTAATGACTCAGTCCTACTAAATTAGAAAGGTTCGGATGTGTCGACTTGTCGGTTAGGACAGTATTTGGGTCTGTCTCCCTTAAAGGCATCAACACTGCAGAGTCCTTTTCAAGGCTTTTTAGTGGCGAGCAATGGCTAGGTGCAAATAACCTAGTCACAATTGTAACCTAAAGCTCCCCCTTAGGGGATGCTGATTGAACGTGACGATTATTTGTTTCAGCAAAATAATGAAGGAAGGAAGGCTCCCTTGTAGATTTAGAAGTAAACAATGATATAAGTGAGAGGACAGCATCAGTGGAAGGAAAAACTGTAGTCTGAGAGAGTTAGATACCAAGACAATCATTGGAGTTGTTAGCAGCCAATCTTTACTGTGGAGACGGTACCTGTTTGATTGCTGTGTAATTCCCTGAATATATTGTCTTCAGTCAATCAGTCATGTGCCGTCTCCACAGTCCTGCTAAATCACACAGGTTCAGATTGTAGACTCAAGAGTCCGACTAAATGACACAGGTTCAGATTGTAGACTCAAGAGTCCGACTAAATGACACAGGCTCAGAGTCCCCCATTGAGGGGGGGGGGAGGGAAGGGGGGGGGGGAACGAGAATAGACCCTCTGCCTACCCACAAGCATGTTGTAAGAGTTAACTAAATGGGAGCTTCCTTCAAAGTCGGGGTGCATCTACCTGAGAGATTTAGATCTGTAAAATGGATGTGCACGCAACGCTCAGGTTCCGGAACAGGACTAGAGTCCAGAAGTGGATGACCAACCAGAACTTTCTGTCAAAGTTTACAGCTAGCCAATGCAAAGAAGTCAAAGTCTGAGTTCATCTGCCTTCTAGGCAAGGAAACAACAGACTGTACAGATATGTCAAAGGTGAGACGCACCGAAAACTCAGGTTCTCAAACAAAGCCAAAGACCAGTAATTGACGAATTGCCAGGACTCTGCCGAAGTTTACAGCCAGTGAATACAAACAATTTACCTGTCTAAGAACAGCCTGGATAAGAGAGTTGATCTCTTTCATTGTTAAGTAAAGATTTATCTAAGAATGGAATTTTGTCTAAGAACAGCATCGTGTCTTGGACGCTAAAATACTTTGGGCATATCAGTAGTCACAATAGCTGCAAGAACAAAAAGGGTAATGAAGGGCATGGTACTGGGTAAAAAGGCAGGGGCAGACCAGCACAAAGTGGGTGCAAGACATCAGAGAAACCTTGGGCAGGAAAGTGCATGGGGCGGCAGAGCTGACTAAGGAATTTCTTTCAGGTGGGTTGTGATCGGAGCAACAATCGGTAAATAACCTGCTATATGATAATAAAGATTACTGGGTTAATGTACTTGTAAGTTTTCATTACATTTATGTTCCTTTGATGTTTTCGACAGGTTGACACAGCCGAAGCCGAGCACTTGATCAGACAGGGCCTGAGCAGACGAGCTATGAAGGCCGATAGCAACTCACCATCAACTGATTCAGACATGCTGTCCGATGGCATCCACAGCTATGAGCAGATAACTCAAAGTAATTTCTCAAAGACGCTGAAGAAAATCGCCAATAAATTTCTACTTCCTGTGTTTCTGATCCCGGCCATGCCAACTTTTATGATGATCATCTGGTTTACGGTGGTACACTGTGACGGTAGCTACGCCAAAATGGTGGCATTCCTCTCCAACAAATCTATTCTGGCTGGTCTGGCAGAGGTGTGGTCCATGGTTCGTTATCCGTCCACTCCTATTGTCGGCATTTTTGTTGGGTACTGTGTCTATGCCCTGTCAATGATGAAATTGCTCCCAGGAGCTACCGTCTATGGCCCTGTCACGCCAAAAGGAAACACTCCCATCTATAAAGACAATGGGTTTGTCTATTACATCCTGACAATTTCTTTATTTTGGATTCTCACCTTTGTCCTGCATCCATATGGAATCTCGCCATCGATAATTTACGATAGATTTGACGAAGTTCTGTTTTTGCTAAACATGTTCAGTTTAATCTTCTGTGCTTTTCTGTACCTGAAGGGAAAATTTGCACCTTCCTCTAATGATTCTGGTTCATCTGGGAATATTATTTTTGATTATTACTGGGGAATGGAACTGTACCCCCGAGTTTTTGGGTTCGATGTGAAAGTGTTTACTAATTGCCGCTTTGGTATGATGGTTTGGGCATTGCTTGTGTGCGTGTATTCTGTCAAAAGTTATGAGCTGTATGGTTTTGTCGATTCTATGTTTGTGTCAACATTTCTGCAGTTATTGTATATTACTAAATTTTTCTGGTGGGAATCTGGATACATGAGAACCATTGATATTATGCTTGACCGGGCCGGTTTCTACATCTGCTGGGGTTGTCTTGTCTATGTTCCTGGCCTCTACGCTTCTGTCTCATTCTACTTGGTAAGCCACCCTGTGATTCTTGGCAACTTCCTGTCTGCAGTTTTTCTACTGCTGGGTGCTGTAAGTATCTACATTAACTTTGCCGCTGATAACCAGAAACAGGTCGTTCGCCGAGCAGACGGCAACTGTCTCATTTGGGGAAGCAAACCAGACATCATTCGTGCCAAGTACCAGCTGGAAAATGGAGACACCAAAGAAAGTATTCTGTTAGCGTCTGGCTGGTGGGGATTGTCCCGCCATTTTCATTACATCCCAGAAATCATGCTGGCGTTTTTCTGGTCGGCCCCCGCCCTCTTCACCAACTTGATGCCCTATTCGTACTTAATCTCCCTGCTGATTCTGCTGATCCACCGCAGTTACCGTGACGACAGCAAGTGCGGCCAGAAATATGGTAGATTTTGGCACGAGTACTGTAGAAAAGTACCCCACAAGATTGTTCCATTTCTATTCTAGTCTTTTTTTCTTCTTTATGGGAGCAATCTGTAACATTTTACATGTTTACAGATCAGGCAAAGCAATGTTGCTGTTGCAATAAACATCTTCCCAGCTCCATAGATACTCACAGAAACAAAATACTGTATGTATATAACCTAAGAAAAAAGTAAACTTGTGAACATTTTGTTTCGCTTAATGCTAGTTACAATTTTGAAAACTTCAGCATAACAGTACAATATCATTTAAAGGGATGAAAATAACTTAGAAGCATTAGGCATGTTGTGTCATCACAGGATGGAAAGAATAAACTGGGCAGAAAAGAGATTGAATAAACAAATCCTTACAGATATTAGAGAAAATACACAACTGGTATACATCATGCAGCCAAACACACACACAAGCATGCTATTTTGGCTTGCTCAGAAATAATATGTGGAGGTCTCAACTAAAAGGATTCAGGAAGAGAAAAAAATGACCTAGGAACAAACGACATTACACAAGCAAGAAAGTTAAGAACATCATTGGGTCACAAACGTAAGCTCGGCAGAAGAGAGTTCCTGAGAGACAACAGAAGGAAATGATCAGGCACCTTCAGTAGCAGTCTTCAGACTAACTGACCTTACAAACGAATGAGTGAAAATTATCTTTAGTCCTCAACCCTACACATTTTTTAAAATTACAAATTACCGCATCAGTTTACGTACAGTCCTTCCCAAACCATCATGTTTTAAAGAGTTACATTTAGTGTGGTCTGCAGCATGCAATAATAATTTATGTCTGTGTACATACACTGAAGTCGACATTGTGTTTTAACAGTGTTCACAATGTTCAGGCCGAATGCACTCTAAAAAATTCAATGTTTTTTGGAGGGGATTTGTGTAGGTAGGAGATGTTGATGTTGTGATCAGCTTGATGACTTGCCAGATTTCTGATAATTTCTCTGCCTAAAAAATTTTTTTTTTACAGAGCCAAAAAACATGAAATGATAGAAGCTTGCAGTAGTATTTTAACAATGGAATGTCTAACTAAAAAGTTATTTTCAGACTAACTATTTTTCACGATCGGTAAAATAAGAGAACATTAAAAAAAAAAAACTTACCCTGATAAAACACATTATATTTAACAACAAAAGTAACAGAACCAACAATTAACCATCAAGTTATATAATGCTCAGTATTTATCATATTTAAATATACTCAGTATTTTTCTAATTCCATTCTCATTTTTCATGTGTTGCATTTGATCATAAGCAGGTTTTTTTTTTCATTCTTCAGTATTTTGTGTTTGCAGTGTACAGTCAAAGTCAGTATTCTAGTGGGAATCTGAGTCTGTATTACAAGTGTAGGATAGGAATTCCCACAAACAGTTTTACTGATATTTACTGAAATATTGTTGTCAGTACATGTCTTTTCTGCAATAACATTTCTTAGAGATTGTCTGCAAGCTGGATAAAGTCATTATTTGCTGTGAAGTCTGAGGAAATATATTTAATTCCTTTTTGTCCAGGCAGGAAGCCCCATGTGGAATATTTATGTTTTACAAGATGTGTATATTAGCTTATCATCACCTCCCCCAGCCAATTTTTCCAAACCTCCCTCCTTTGTTCCTCGCCCCATTTGAAGTGGTCACTTCTGGGGCTGAGAGATTATTCTAGTTTACACTATTTATTGTATTATAAAACAAGATTAATCTGTGTCATTTTAACAGGGAGATTAATTTTCTTTCAATTAAACAACAAGATTAATTTCAATAAGGCGAACACAAACAATACGTTGCACCATTTATTATTGCCTAGCATATTTCGCTGTATCTTGTGGATGCTTTATTTCAGACCAGATTCAACATATACTGAAGCGTAAAAGTCAATTTCAGCATAAAAGTCAATCCTTTTTGGTGAAATACATAAATCACTTTGTCAGGTTGGTTAAACTGTACATCTCTCCACAAGAAATTCAAGATCAACCGTGTTATTTCTTTCCATGGCAACTTCAAACGGATCCCTTGATCTTTTTGTTTACATAAAAGTGGATAGTTCACATTAATTTAAATGGCCGAGGGTAGTATTAGTAAATGCCTATTCAAAAAGCAGTAAATAATTCTTAAGATGTAATCCTCTTCAACTGTATGCCTAGAGTTAATCAAATCGATTCTATCACAGTTTAATTGTTTGAATTTAACAGTAAGATAAAAGAAAATTTTCAGTCTGACAGTAATATTAACAGGCAAATTAATTTGTGAAATTCAACAGTACAGTTAATTAGTTGAAATTAACAGTTACATTAATTTGTTAAATTTAACAGGAATTCACTGGATGTTACAGACAATTGTGTTGAATAAAGAATGTAACATTGACAAATAAATCAGCAATAGCAAATATATGAAGCTAGCTATAAGCTGTATTCAATTTTAGGGTAATAATGAATTAGTGTGAGATGGTAGTTACAAACTGATTGTGTAAAATAGTTACAGATGCCAGAAAATGGGAGAACAAGATTACAGTTAAGTAAATAATATTGCTATGGCTCAGACTGCGTCTCTCCGTGATGATTGATTATTCCTTATGTTGATAACGTATGTCTCTTTACTAGTCTAGTGTACATACTCATAGTAAATTAGAAAGCATCTGTTTTTAATAGTTGCTTCTATTTATATCATTTTGATGGTGTATACCATTTTGATGGTATTATTAAGTTATCTGACTGACTTCTATGGGTCACTATTTTATATTTTTATTTCTTTATCTTTGAAAAAAAAAATGAAATCAGTTATTCTACTCCGATCCACCTGCTAATTATGGTTTTGATCTGGAAATGTTGTTTGTATATTTTTTTGTAGGTGTAATAAATTAACATAATTTGCTTTTAACTCTAATTTTATGTTTTAATTTTATGTTTGCACGATATTACCTACATTTTCATGTTGTGAACGTACAATGTCAGTATATATTTTTTATTATTTTGTTTTTACATTGATGTGATATTTTGATGGAAATTGTCAAAATAGATCAGATATTGTTTTTTGTTTTTTTTTAATAAAAATATGTACGAAACAGAAAGTTATTTTTTTTTACCCTCATGCTAAAATTAACGATGTCATGTCCTCACCATGTGTTTAATAAAATTGGTTATTCTTTGCATGTTTCCCTCGAGTTTTTTTTCTTCCATTCATTTCTTATATGAACTACTCCCTAGCGTAGTTAGTTAAACCTGACTTCACGGCGACCGGGTGACGAACTCTGCCTGGTCCAGGTTCACGCCCAGGGGTTGACAGAAGAGCCAGATTTCTCCCAGATTTACAGTATCTATCATGGAGTCAAGGCCGAAGGGTTGTGATATCCATGGTTGTGATATTCATAGTACCAAGCCAAAGGGTTCACAACTCATGGTTTTTGGATACTTAAAAAAAAAAACACACACACACACAAAACTCTTAACCCATAGAACCACCAGTAGGTTGTGTGCCTGGCTGTACATGCTGACCATCTGTTAACAGTCCAGCAACATTTGAAAACTGGAGGTAGGTAATCAGACTTACTGCCTTGTGATGCAAGAACAAAAAACAGTATAGAGTAAGACACCAAAATGGGAAACAAATGTACTGAAGAAAGAAGGATGCCGAAGTTAGATCCTAAGATAAACGTTGTTGAGAGAGGTCAAAGGTATTGGGCTGGATTTCATTAATGATGTTAACAAAATTGTGCAGGGCAGAACAGAGTGGAGGAATAGATTAGAAGCCCTGTGTGACATATAAACAGCTAGCCCTGTGTGACATATAAACAACAAGCCCGTATGACATATAAACAGCAAGCCCTGCGTGACATATAAACAGCAAGCCCTATGTGACATATAAACATCAAGCCATGTGTGACATATAAACAGCAAGCTCTGTGTGACATAAAAACAGCAAGCCATGTGTGACAAATATACAGCAAGCTCTGTGTGACATATAAACAGCAAGCCATGTGTGACATATAAACAGCAAGCTCTGTGTGACATATAAACAGCAAGCCGTGTGTGACATATAAACAGCAAGCGATGCGTGACATATAAACAGCAAGCTCTGTGTGACATATAAACAGCAAGCTCTGTGTGACATATAAACAGCAAGCCCTGTGTGACACATAAACAGCAAGCCCTGTGTGACATATAAACAGCAAGCTCTGCATGACATATAAACAGCAAGCTCTGTGTGACATATAAACAGCAAGCCCTGTGTGACATATAAACTGCAAACCATGTGTGACATATAAACAGCAATCCCTATGTGACATATCAACAGCAAGCCTTGTGTGACATATAAACAGCAAGCCCTGTGTGACATATAAACAGCAATCCCTATGTGACATATAAACAGCAAGCCCTGTGTGACATATAAACTGTAAACCCTGTGTTACATATAAACAGCAAGCCCTGTGTGACATAGACAGCAAGCCCTGTGTGACATATAAACAGCAATCCCTATGTGACACATAAACAGCAAGCCTTGTGTGACATATAAACAGCAAGCCCTGTGTGACATATAAACAGCAAAAGAGGACATAATGATGGTGCAACGCACGGACTTACAGAGACTATTACCTTGGATTATTCTGCCTTGAGGAAACTGTATCCAGATGATCCGGGATACTTGCCATTTAGAGAACCTACATTGTATTTCTCCTCTCCATTCTCCCTGGCTGTGGTTTCTAAATAAGAAGGCCACATGCCTCTATGAAGTCTGTGGTGTGACTCCTGTCTTCCACTGTTACATATAGCTTAGTTTTCCTTGGAATGACAACCGGCCAAACCTGGGATCTCTCTGCTGCATGTAGCGAGTTAGGATGTCTATAGGACATGTTCAGTACTTCTTCTTCTTCTTCGCGTTTACCAGCTGTAAACTCCGGGAAAGTTCTGGTTGTTCGTCCACCTCTGGACTGCAGTCCCGTTCCAGAACTTGAGTTGCGTGTGCATCCGTTTTACAGATGTGACTCATGTGTATGCAGACTGCTGGTTCCTTGCCTCTCAGACAGATGCATTCCG